CAATGACAGTCAACTTTGATTCCCCATTATCTTATTTTCTTTACAAAATAATGTTTTAGTCAAAAGGTAAAAACAATACACCTTACCAAAACCCTTTGTGGGAGCAGTTTGCTCTAAATGGTGGGAAGCCTTTCTTAACAATGAAAACACATCCTGTGTAGCAGCAGGAAGTTCCTTATAATCAGTAATAGAGAGTGCATAATTGGGTTCATGAGATAATGTCTGTATCTCCAGGGTATCAGCATCAGTTGTTCCGATGGCAATTGGGATGACACCAGTTTCTTTCAGCATTCTGACTGGGGTTCTTATGTCATCTCCAGATCTTCCACCACTCAGTAGTATGAGTATCTGTGGAACTCCCTCCAGGAGTCTACTTCCTGACTCAGAAGTAAATACATGGTCCCTCACATACTGAAGAGCTGCTCCAATGTTGTGAGGATAACCTCCTTTGTGTCTTAGACCTTGTACTGCATCAAGGACATCATCCTTTGTTAAGTATTGTCCCAAGTTAAAATTTGTTTCTGCTGTGTTGCTGTACTGAACCACAGCCACACGATCTTTGTTTGCATCAACGTTTAGGTCTGCCACCATTCTCTGCACAAAGTCTTTAATATCTGGAAATCTTTGCTCAGAATCATCAGAGCCATCAAGCAAGAACACAACATCTCTTCTGCTGGGATCTGTAATCACACAGACATTTCAACATATTGGTTGATGATGAAATTTGTGATGAAAAGTGCAAATGTTCAATAATTCCACATGCACAACTTGCTATACTTTAGCAGACCATTGCAGAACCTGTAATTGGAATCACTGCTTGACAGAAGTGGGCAGGACCACCAAAAACAACATGGAGGAAATCCTAGAATAACACTAACAACCAAATGCAAAGTTTGGTGTGTGTAGCCAAGTTCTTATTATTAGTGAAATGGTCCAAAATAAGGTGAATTTCAAGTATTTAAGGAATGGGTTGGAAAAAAATGGCATGATACATTTAAAGTATCTTAAACCAGAATTCCAATTGTTGCTCTGAAAAAGGTGAAAACTGTTTTATGTTGTCTCAATAAAACCAAAATATTTTTTTCATGAGGACGCTGTCATAATCCATTTAATGATCCAACATATCTATCATCTAATGGCCAATAGATCCAACAGCCAAAAAGTGGTACTAGTCTGTTACTGTCCATCATTTATCCTCAATTGAAATGAAAGATTGCTGGTCTATGTAAAACTCACAATGTGTGAAGTTGTGCACATGGTGTAAGGTGTTGTCATGACAGAGTCTTACCATAGGATGCTGGTTTCATAGCAGGGGTTTCAGCCTTGGTGGTGGCAGAAAATATTTGTTGTTCAATTCCTGACAGATCACTGGGATCTGCTACAAAGAAAGCACGACTGGCTTCCTGTGAAATAGACTGAATCTCAAGGGCATCTGCATTCTTTGTTCCCACCACAAATACCATCACGCCCATTCCTTTCAAGTTTTCTACAGCATTTCTGACATCATCACTGGACCGTCCGCCAGTTAAGAGAACCAAAATCTGAGGGACGCCCTGTTGATGCCTACTTCCAGAAGAGGCTGTAAAAACATGATCCTTGACATACTGGAGGGCTGCACCAGTATAGAGGGGTGTGCCTCCTCTATGCCTTAGACTTCGCACATTGTCTGCCATACTCTGCTTTGTTTTGTGTGTGTTCAGGAAAAATTCAGCAGAAGGTTCCCTGCTGTACTGCACCACTGAAACACGATCGATGTTCTCATCCACATTGAGTTTCTCCACCATTCTCTCAACAAAGCCAAGCATTGCCTGAAATTCATTTTGCATTTCATCTGACGCATCCAACAAAAACACAATATCGCGTTGAATGGAATCAGTTCCATCTTCAGAACCTTTCACAGACACAAAGATGATGCTCAGTTAGAGTTACACAAGTTATTCAAGATAGATAGATAGATAGATAGATAGATAGATAGATAGATAGATAGATAGATACTCTTACCTAGTACATTCTGTGGTTTTAGTCTTGGCTGTTGTCGAGGCACTCTTTTCACAAATGACACAAGTTGTTGATAGACACTCCCAATATCATCAAACCGCAGCACAGAGAAAGCATAGGAAGGGTTATGTGCAATCATTTGGAGCTCGAGTATGTCAGCATTTCTTGTGCCTACACAGAACGGAACAACTCTGTCCTGTTTTAGAGCCAGAGCTGCACTTGCAACATCATCTTGAGATCTGCCGCCACTTAAGAGAATCAGTATCTGAGGGACACCTTCTTGATGCCGACTCCCCGAGGAGTCAACAAAAACATTGTTTCTCACGTAGTCCAGAGCTGCCCCAGTGTTGAGGGCTCTGCCCCCTTTATGGTTCAGCTCCTGGAGAGCATTAAGAATATCTTCTTTTTCTGTGTAGGTGTTCAAGTTGAAATGTGTCTGTGGATCTCTACTATACTGAACCACAGAAACACGGTCTTTGTTTTCACCAATACTGAGTGATTCTACCACTCTTTGGACAACACTTTTCATTGCTGGGAAGCCACTCCGTGTCTCCTCTGACCCATCCAATAGAAACACTATGTCTCTTTGAGGGGACTCTAATTCAACTAGAAAAGAATAGGAAAACCTTGTTTAATAATCAGACATAATACATCAGCGTGGTGCAATCAGTACACATTAGATGGTTGGTAAAGCCATAAGAGTATTTGTAATTTAAACTACAATAAACAAGGTGTAAAATGCCAGAACATTAAAAAAAAAAAAAAAAAAAAAAAAAAAAAACGTTAATAAACATGGAGAAAACTACAAGACAAGAAGCATTTTCCTCTTTCACAAATGAAAGATGCTGAAAGCTGAATAAAAGATTTCAATATTCTCTAACTTTAGATATTCGGTCAATGATGTGATTATCATTGGCTCAAGGAAGAGCTTAAGAATGATGCTGATGTGAGGCTTTCAAGAAAGACTCTCCAAGGTACATGAAGAAAAGAGATGAGAGCCAAACAAGAAACAGCATCAGGAGATTGTGTTTGAGGAACATGAAACTGACCGACATTCTTCAGAAGATGATGCAGTTTCATGGCAGTTCAAACCATGAAAGACTTGTACTAAAACTATAAGTGGGGAGTCTGATTTGGCGGAGAATCAGGGATGCTTCTTACCCACAACAGTAGGCAGCTCGATGTGTTTTGGCAACTTGACAAATGCAGCTATCTCCGGCTGAATGGACAAAAGTTCACCAAAGACAGGCAGGTTGAAAAGGAATCTGGGGGAGAGGGCAATTTTTTGAAGCTCCTCCTGTTTAGCATTTTTCATTCCAATGGCAAAAGACAGAACGCCAATTTGTTTTAACTCTACCGCAGCTCTTGAAACATCATCACTGGATTTGCCTCCAGTCAGTAAAAACAGGATCTGTGGGACACCTTCTAGTTGTCTACTCCCCGATGATGCTGCGAAAACATGGTCTCGCACAAACTGCAGAGCAGCCCCGGTGTTCCGAGGTTTTCCTCCTTTGTGGCGAAGACTTCTCACAGCGTAGATGATAGCCTTTTTGGTTCTGTGAGTTTTTAGGTTGAAGTAAACTGTGGTGTTGTCACTATACAGCACAACAGCCACTCGAACCTTATCTTCTCCAATGTCAAGCTCTTCTGCCATTCTTCTGATGAACTCTCGAATAGCAGGAAGTCCATTTCTGGAGTCATCCGACCCATCAAGGAGAAACACTATGTCCCTCTTATTGCTCTCTGCATTAACAAGGTGATACATGTATAGACGAAAAGAGAATTCATTGAAGACTTTTCTACACTCATGCATAGTCATCAGCATGAGAAAGAAGCTCAGAAGCTAAGAAAAATAAAACTGAGCAGAAAAAGAAAGATGACCTGTTATTTCAGGCAGAACTGCTAAAGAACCATCTTTTTATTTCATCAAAAAGATGTTTGAGAGAACTTGGCAATTTATCTTCAAAGCAACATCAAAATGAACAATTGGAAAGAAGAATAAAAGAGAGCTACATTGGGAAAACCTTAGAAATACACAACAGTTGATTTTTCAAAGCACAATAGATTTTATAGCAACAGTATTCATAAATATCATGCAGGAAAAATGTGTCATAATGAATCATTGTGGGATTCATGTTGATTACAGAGAGAGAGAAAGAGAGAGAGAGAGAGGAGAGAGAGAGAGAGAGAGACTATCCTAGAGAGTAAAAGTTGTTATGTGGAAGAAAAGATGTCGTAAGTAATCCAATTTCAGGCATATATTCAAATGTGGAATTCTTACCTACTAAATCAGAGATTCCAGTCATGGTTTCCTCAGTGTCTTTGTTTATGTTCAGTGTAGCAAAAAGTTGCGACTGGATTGAGGGCAACTTGGAGAAATCATTGACCTTGTATGTGAAACCAGGTTTGGAGGTAATCATTTCCAACTCTGACAGATCAGCATCTCCCACTCCAACTCCCACTGACACAATTTCATGCTCTTTAAGAGCAAAAGCTGGGCTTCTTACATTATCAGTGGATGGCTTGCTACTTAGAAGAATTAAGATCTGTGGCACTTCTTCCAATCTTCTACTGCCCGTGGATGAAGTGAAGACACTATGCCTCACAAACTGGAGAGCTTGCCCAATGTTAAGGCGCCTCCCTCCTTTGTGTCTCAAATTATCTATGGCATTTCTAATGTCATTCTTTGTCTTGTGAGAATTTAGATAAAAGCTGACCTCAGGGTTATCAGCGAACTGAACCACAGACACTCTGTCTTGGCCCTCACTGCCAGAGAGGCTCTCCACTATGCTCTTAACAAAGAGTTTTATCTCTGGGAATCCATGTCTTGTGTTATCAGAGCCATCCAGTAGGAACACAATATCTCTTTTTACAGCATCACTTTGTTCTAAGACATAACAAATAAGATTTTGTTATTCTGATGAAACACCAAAAATCAGGAGTTGTGTTGTTTTCTCACAGCAAGTTTAACATGCTAATAAGAATTTAAATTTTCCTCTTACCTTGCTGTAGGACCACGGCTAGCTGTTCCTTTGGAAGGCTCAAGTAGTTATTGACCCTTGATGGTATGGTGCTGAGCTCGCTGAATTCCTTCACAGTGAAGGCAAACGAAGGGTTGTGTGAAATGGCCTCAATCTGCTTTGGGTCTGCATTCTTGACGCCAACACCAAATGGTATGACTCCGTCCGTCTTCAGCGCACCGGCTGGATCTTTCACATTGTCTCTGGACCTGCTTCCAGCCAATATGATATTAAACTGAGGGACGTTTTGTGCACCCCGACCACCATTCCTTTCAGAAAAGATGGTGTCCCTCATGAATCTTAGAGCATTTCCTGTGTTGAGACTGCGTCCACCAGTCGGGGACATGGAATTGACAGCTCTAAGCACCTCTTCTTTGGTTTGATAAGTGTTAAAGTAGAAAATTGGAGCTGGCTTCTCACTGTGTTGAACCACTGAAACTCTTACTCTGTCAGTCCCAATGTCAAGTGGCTCAAGTATTTTGATGATAAAATCACGGATGTAGGCAAACTCTCCTCGAACACTGTCTGTGCCATCAATGAGGATGGCAACATCCCTTTCCGCTCCAGTGACAACAGCTGAGGGAAAACAAAATGAACTGTTACAAGGGAGACTTTTCATTACAGTTTCATGTACTGACATTGCATTTATTTCATTGATAGAAACATCTATTTAATTAATAGAAACTCACCAGGTCCAGTAATTTCTGTGGTTTCCTCAGGGAATGGTATAACTGTATCTGTATCACCAACCACTGTTACCAACTTTGGCATGATTACTTCAGCCATAGCGGGTATATTCGAGAAGCTTGCGTGATGGTAAGCCAAATCTGGAACAAAGGCAACTGTTCTCAGGAGGGCTTCATCTGCTTGCCCAGAACTGACTGTGAAGGTCAGAACCCCAGCCACAGCCAACTTATCAGCCACACTTTTCACCTCATCATTGGGTGGACCACCTGTGATCAGAACCAAGACCTGCTGGACCCCCTGCTTCCTGCGTGACCCGGTTGATGGCTGGAACATTGTGGCAAGGGCATGTTGCATGGCAGCTCCTGTATTCAAAACTGAGCCTCCCATCAGCCTGAGCTGAGAGATTCTATTCACAACATCTTCCCTGTTGCGGTAGTTGTTCAAATAAAATTCAATATTTGGATTGTCAGCAAATTGCAGGAGACCAATCTGGACTCTGTCAGGACGTACATCTAGCTGGTTGACCACGTTGATCATGAAGTCTCTCACATAGGGCAAGTTAGAGCTGCCAATGTAGTTTGAGCCATCCACAAGGAAGACAATGTCTCGGACCACTTTTTGAGTCTGCACTGTGGTTATCTCCACCACTAAGAGAAAGCACAAAAAAAACAAAATATTACCTTACTTTCACTCTTTACATAATAAAAAATCAAATGATGCCCATTGAAACTGTTATCTTTAAATGCTATGAAGTTGATTCTTTGTTATGGGTAAACTTGTTTCTGCTATTGGTTTTCCACTTATTTATTCAAAGTTTTTCATTCATTTGGTTTAAATAGGCCATTTTTCAAGTTCATATCATTCATTCTCTGTATTACTTTTGAAATGTATAGATTGTGCTTAGAAGACTGAGCATTACCTGGCTCAGTGGGTACTTCAGTCACCACCACCCCAGCTAGAGTGGAGAGTGCATCAACAATTGCCCTTGGGTTGCGGAGTAGTGCACGGAAGTCCTTCAACATGAACACAACGCTTTCAGCAAAGGCAATTTGTTTCAGCTCCTGCTCATTAGCAGCCTTGGAGCCTGCAGCCAGAGTCAATACGCCCATACGGTGCAAGGCCGCAGCAGGTACTTCCACATTGTCACTGGACCTTTTACTGGTCATCAACAGTAAAAGCTGGGGTACCCCCTGTTGAATACGGCTGCCTTTCTCAGGCCGTAGCATGTTTGTCCGCACAAAATCCAGGGCTGCTCCGATATTGACGGTCTGTCCAGGTCTTGGTTTGATAGCACCCAAAGCAGCATTTAGAGCCTCTTGGGATCCATGGGAGTTGAGATCCATCTCAAGTCGAGGGGCATTGCTGAACTGGGCCACACCCACTTGAACATGGTCTGGGCCGATTGGCATGACGTCAACAAACCGCTTGATGAATTCGCGCACAGAGTTGATCAGTGTTGCACCCATTGTACTGTCAATTAGGAAAATGATGTCTCGTTTTCCGACTGTCAAGACTGAAAAGAAAAGAAAAAAAATGATATGAGAATAAAAGCTAATTTTAGGATACATTATAATAATAAACTTGTACATGCTAAAGGCTAACAAATATTCAGATATTCTGTAATTAGATTTAACGTGTGTGTGTGTGTGGGGTGGGGGGGTGCCTTCTGGATGTTTTATTGTAAAAATTTATTTTCCAACTGATGTTCTGACACTTGCTTAAAGACTGGTAAAGACAAAAGGTATCAATTAAAATTAGAATAAGAATAGAAATGCATTAATGAGTAATCAATACAATTTAAACGTAAAACACACTGCAGAGTCTAGCCTGAAAGTGGCACTGGAACTTGGTTCTTAATGTGCCAAGTGTTGTCATTTGATTAATGTGTTGGTCATTCATATAGTTCATAAAATCTTTTTATTTAATTTCACAAGCCCTTATATTGTTCTGTGCTCTGCAGTGCTTGTTGGACTTGTTTTGTTTCACGAAAAAAAATTATATTAAAACTGCACATATTTTGTGTTTAAATTATTTCTTTGAATGCAGGAACTTACAACTTACAAATATTAAGCTCTAACAAGGAATATTTTGGGGCATACATGATATATAAATCATTGTTTTGTTGACTTCTATGTCACATGGTTAACATGTGTCAAGGTCAGGGTGTCTAGCTAGCACATGATGTTCTGTCATGGCTGATAGGGTGGGGATGGTTGCAAAAAGTTGTACTTTGAGCAGCCAAATCAAAACAGACCACACTACTTTTTTTAGTTCAAAATAGGCAATATATTTAGCTAAGTTTATACCATATAACAACAGATGCAACAATAACTGCTCAATTTAATGTAAAAGAGAATACAAACAAATTATTTGGGGAATTATTTTGTTAGCTTCTTATCATAAACAATAAAACTGATAAATTGTGCCTATTTTGACTCAAGGTAGGCCTATGTTCTACACAAAACAAAACTCAATAACTGATATAACTGATCATATATGATAAATAAATGATAAATATGATTAAATGAATAAATATAACTAGAATATTATTGTATAAATAAATCTAACTAGAATATTATTGTATAAATAAATAATTCTAGAATATTATTATAAAACTATGTATATTTTCAGAATATCATACCTTTTGAGACAAAAAGTAAAAGGTGAAATTAGTGAAACTTATTGAATTCTTAATATGTTGCAACCATCCCTGATTCTTGTTGCAAATGTCACTAGGTTTGGGGTCAGATGCAATATTGGAATTCTGGTATGGTGGGTAACATCTGGTGGACAGATGTAAGTTTAAAATAAAAGTTTGGTTGGTCAAGTCCAAATAGTCTCTGAGTAACTGAGAGAAATGCAAGATAGTGTTGCAACCATCCCCAATCTCCCCTACTTCTCTTAGTAGAAGATATTTACTTAGTTTAGTCAGCAGAGTCAAATTTCATCTAAGTAGATACAGAACACTAACAGTAGTTAATACTTTCAACTTTTACTATGTTATTATCACCTCTGTTGATAGTCCTTATTACAATTGAGATTAAAGACATTTCAAGTTTAGCACAAACCTCTCATATCTTACCTTGTACACTATATTAGATTCATTACAAGCTTTTAATTGATTAAGTCCCCTTCGACAACCACAATGCCCCGCCCACATTTACAGAGAAGTTACATACCTTCTGTGAACTCATTCTGAACTATAATGGAGCGCTGGACCACCCCATTAATGTATGGGAGCAGCTGGTCACCCATGTTTGCCACTGTTCTGAAATCAGGGGCTGACATGACAAAACTTTTGTCTGTAGCAACTGCTTCCAGATCTGCAGTGGCAGTGTCACCAATCATCACGCCGAATGTGATAATGCCAGCCCTCTTAAGGGCCCGGTCACCAGCACCAGTATCATCAGTGGATGGCCCAGCACTGATAACCACCAGCATCTGGGGCACACCCTCGTCTGCCCTGCCCCCAGCTGTTTGGCTCAAGAGGCTCTCGGCCACTTCCTCCAAGGCAGCCCCCAGGTTTGATTCGTCGCCCCCTGAGTAGGGAAGGCCCTTCACAGCTTCCAGGACTGACGATTTGCTGTCATAGCTATTTAGATAGAACTTTATCTCTGGGTTGCCGTTGTAAACAGCCAAGGCCACCCGAACAGCGTCCCTGCCCACATCAAGGGGCTCAATGATTCTCAAAACCAAATCACGCACAAAGGGGAAGTTTGCTGCTCCAACGTTCTGTGATCCATCAATTAAGAGTACTAGGTCAGCTGAATCTTGCTCTTTAAGGAGAGAGAGAGAAAACAAAACAAAATGGAACTTGTGAAAGCGTTAACTACAGTGAGACAGAGAAAAGAATTCAATCAGAGAACTCGTGCTAGCATGTCACTGCATGTGTAACATTCAGAGTGAACAAATCAATAACAAAATTGCAAAACACATCATACTGCATGTAGGCTGAACCAAGGAGATTTCCTAACATGGTGTCATTTCTGGATTTTTTTTTCCCCCCTAAATGTCACTTTGTACGCTTTAGTCAGAATTACTGTGATTTTGTTTCCCAATCACAGAATGGACATTTAGATTGTCTATGGATCATAAATACTAACCACTGATAGAGGAATAATTCTCCACATCTTCTATCAGTAACAGCTTTATGAGACCAAAACATATTTATATTTTTCCCACATCAGAGGCAGATTAGAGCTCTGACACAATGTAAAGCAAATTGAATTTGACATCATTTTGATTGTTGTGATAAATAGCCAAAAGAAAAAAAGTTTTAATGTGACTGAATGATTGGTGCTTCAACTGAAAAGCTTAAATTTTTTACAAGTATTTAAACTGTTTTAAGGTTGATTGTACTGAAATGACATAAATTGATAATAAGGTTTTCAGGAAGCGCAGACGTGTCCGATCTGCTGCTTGTATAAACTCCACTGAGTTCAGCCATCCCATGCAGACTCTTGTTACGGACCTCAGATAAAGTGACCAGTCATGACCCTGTGGCTCATCCTTGGTGCTTACAGGTTTACAGTACATGAGAACGTATTACATGTGATCCTGTATGAAATCAGTAAAATCATGTATATTGGTGATGCTTCCAATTTATTATACATTGCAGTGACTGTGTCACCCTCAAACACTTGACTCTTTTACATTAACTACTCTTCGTTGAAATTCACATAATTCTCATTCCAGTACGTTATTGTAACACATTACACATAATTTCTAGACGTCTACATGTAAAAACGTTCTCAAAGTACTTTTCCTGCAGGTCAAGGATGATTCCAGGCAGATTCATCACTGTTTCAATAAAAACACAATATTGCACATATTTCACGCAGATAGACATTGTGACTGATAAAGACAAACATACATATGCAAGACACTTAAGCAGTGGTGCATGGTTAGCTATTGTTAAAAGCTCATTGATTTTGAGGTGTACTGTTTTAAAGGGTAGGACATCTCTGAGTTCTTTTCCAAAGTTTTTTTTATGAATTATGAGGTTTTCTTTTCTTTCTTTTTCATCAGTTTTACCATTTTATTCTGTTGCTGTCTGTATTTGTGTCCTCTCACTTACAGCTGTAATAAGAGTAGGCACTACATGTATGTGAAAATGGTGACTTAAATTGTGACTGAGGTTATTGCCAACACAGCACTGAAATAACCATATGTAAAAGCATCTAGGACAGAATTTGAACAAGCATATATCTGTGCCATTATCACAAACTGAACTCCCTAATCTAAGATGCAGTAGGGGTGTCAATCACATGCAAACCATATTGTGATTTTTAGAGCATTAGGGACATATTAAATGTGGTAAGACAAAACAAGTGATGTTAATTTTGCAGGTTGACAGTGAAAGGTTATTGTGGTTAAAAAAAATACTTGATTGTGTTAATGATAAATTCCAGTCACGACCACATATGCAGCAGTTTCTTCCTGCACATGTAGACACATTAGTATAGTAGTGACACTGGTCCCATTTCATTACCTGTCCCTCTTCCAGCCACAGGGGCCTCAATTGCCACGGGAGCGCCCCCTGACCGGGTCACTGTGCTGCAAATCCCCACTACTAAATCTTGAATTATATCCCTCAAGGACAGGAAAGAGTCTACACTGAATACATGAGTGTCATGGGGCTGGCTAGCCATCTCCCTGAGCTCCGACTCCACTGCATCCTGAACTCCAACTGCAAACACCTCCACGCCTGCCATCCGCAGCACCTGAGCCGGCTCGACCACGTCATCCTGGGAGCGGCCATCTGTTAGCACCACCACCACCTGGGGCACCCCTTCAACAGCGCGGCTACCGGATGCAGTGGTCAAGTGTGTACGTATGAGGAATTCCAGGCCCAGGCCAGTGCGGGTCCCCCCACCGCGATAAGACATATCCTTGATGTGTGCCAGGACTCCCTGTGTTGTTGGGTAGCTGTTGAGCTGGAACTCAGTTCCAGGCCTGCTATTGTACTGCACGAGGGCAAATTTAAACCTGTCCCCTCCAACCCGGTGCAGCGATTGTATCAAACTGTACAGAAATTGTCTGACATGCTCAAAGTTCTCCTGTCCAATACTCCAGGATGAATCCACTAGAAAGTACATATCAGCTGCCAACCCTTGTCCACAATCTTCAGAGGAGAGTGTTTGGAGGACAGAAGTGAAGACCAGTGAAAAATATGCTTGGTGTATGGTACCAAAATATCTATAATGTTTAGGTAATTCTAGGTTTGACAGCATCAAACTTTGTACTTGGTACTCTAACACTCCTGGGGCGTTTATTCACATTTTTTGTCCCATATTGAGCTACACAGTTTGAATACAGATGTTATTATAATTGATGATGATGGGAAAATGGCTGGTTAACCAACAAAGCTCATTAGAATGGAAAAATATTCTATTTCATATACATATGTCTTTGTTTTTGTTAGAATATCATGAGAATGTTCATAAATCCCACTTTTAATTTCAATATTTGAATGAAAGTCCAGATGGAGATTAAATATTTTTGGAACAGCAAAAAATAAAATTTAAAAAAAACAAACATATCCCACTGAGTATTGCTGAAAACTGGAAACATCATTGTAAGCAGACAGATCATCTGCAAAATGAACCCTCTACTGACTGCAGCTGGGACTGACTTAGTTCAACTTACCTTCCTGAGCATCAAGTTTAGGGAGGAGTCCTGCAAACAGGACACCCAGAAGGGCGCATAGCGGTAACAACCGAGGCCTCCTCATCTTCAGAAGAAACAAAGGGGACACCTGTCAAACAGAAAACACAGAACATGTGATTATGAACCAGGAAGCACAGACAGTAGCTCTATTCTAATACAGCAAGGCCTATTAAATACTACTGTAGAGTTAAATAAGCTCATGTTAAATGAAGTATAAATGAATGTTTGAATACGAGTCTCAACAGTAAACATTTTACATAACAAACTATGCCTGCTTTAAGGTTTGTTTTCATGTTGTTTTCACAGAGTTAGTATTGCTGGAGCGTTTACATGATGTTTTGCACTCCCTATTTTGCTGAACCACTTCTCTAAATATAACACACAACATTGCTTCTTTAGCCAAGAATGCGACATTTAATCTATGACAAACCACTTAAGAGAAAGAAAAACATGTCTCCTGTTGCTTTACACTGGAACAAGCCATTTGCATGACATCAAAGAATCATCAGGCAGAGACAAGCCTGTACCTCCTGTCCAAACTTAAAAATGATAGGATTTAAATGTTGCTTGAATCAAACCGAAACTGTTAACTTTTGTGCATACAGCCTGCGTGACTGCCTTTCTCTCAGTGTAAGCGAGGGAGCCTCAGGCCTGTGTTGGTGCAGCACAGAGTGGTGATGATCAAAACCACCTGTTAAAACTACCAGCCAATGTGCTTTAGTAATTAACTCTGCTTGGCAACAGCTGAATTTTCCAACTCATAAAATAATGTGTTCTCAAGTGTTGGAGTGCTGGACTGGAAAGTCCACTTTCACAGCAGGGGTGTGTGTTTTCTATTTGCTTCATATGTTTTTCCCCCCATTGTGATGTCAAGTAATGTCACATGAAATGAAAGGAAAAGGTCAAATGTGGCCACTGAGAAAGTGTGCACATATGCACAGGGTGTAATTTTTTGTACATAGTTATTTAGCCTATAGCATAGGAAATCTTTCAAACATGAACATTAAAGCTAACACTGAACTACATACAAGCACAGTTGTTCATCAATCTTTTGCTATCAGTAAATGATGCCAGGACCAGTCTTAAAATGTACACACACGCACGCACGCACGCACGCACGCACGCACGCATACTTTTGTGCTTTTATACTAAACCCTAAAGTTAACCCCAACCATTACTCCTTAACCTTAACCCTAAAACCAAGTCCTAACACTCAAGCAGCGCTGTGAAGAGTCAGGGTTGTCTTCACTTTCTGGCTCGGAAACAAAAACAAAGGTCCTTACAAAGATAGAAGCCTGAGAGCACACACATGCACACACACACAACCTATTAAATTTGAGACCACCCTGAGGTGATAATATGGGCCCAGAAATACGCCAGAGCAGCCAGAGCAGCCAGAGCAGGAGCACTATAGAGCAATTAACACACTGAAGCAAACTTCAAACTGTAAAACTCTCATCTGAGAAAAACAAATGCCATCCAAATTAACCAAAACTTCCAACTGTGACCTGGCAGACTCAACACTCTGCAATTAGGGAGAGATTTTCATAAAAACATATTAACACAAACACAAAAAAATACCGTTAATACTGAAAAATAAAATGCCCTGAGATGGCACACATGGCCTATGAGCAGTGAAAACTTCACCATTCAGCTAATGATGGGATGTAAAAGTAGATAACTCCTGGATGCCTTCAACACTCACTGTGCCTGCCGGCAGACACAATAAAAGCTCTAAAGAGAAAAGTGGTGTTTGGATCATTATTCCCACCTAAGTATGTCCACTTTATTGGGACATAAAGTTCCAGAAGATATATACAAACTAAGTCAGTCATGGACACTGAGGTATAACTGTGACAATGTCCTCTAGTGGAGAATGCAGGTATAACACTGTTATAGTAGTTCCTGACTTTCTAGAATGAAGTAACACATAAAACCTGTGCACTGGTCATCTGTCTTTTATCATGAGTTTATTTAGTGGAATATGGAGTCACATGAAGCTTATGTAAGGTCTTTGTGTGTGAAGATTAACTTGCGAGGCTGCACAATGACTTCAAAACTTTTAAAATGATATGCATCTTTCAAAATCCCTCCTCCTTCACTCCTTATTTTGTGCTTTTTAGGATTAACCCAAAAATTATTTTCAGTGGGGTTGAATGTGTGCCCCGACTGCACCAGTGACATCATGTGCCACACATATGTACCTGCCTGTGACCTGAGTGTTTGTTTTTAACCACCTATGCCAGGCTGTGGAGTGACTCTATTTTGCTGTTTGGGCAAATCTAAAAAAACACACTCCAATATGTGTATTCAAGAAATAGCTGTTTGGCCACTAAGCAATTGGAAGTTTGGCCTCTGGCTTGAGGACAACAACTTGATCTCACCAAATTATTTCAATGACAAGAAACCCTTTCATGAGAAGAGGAAAGTCCATGCGTCAGGCTAGAATCGAAGAGTGAATCATCCACAATACACAGAAATAATATAAACACAAACATTGAGTTTGTCACCATGTTTATACTGTATCCAAAGTTTATGCAGACTAAACTTTGCAGATCAGAGTGAAACTCTAAAAGTCTAAACTGGTGGGAATTAAAGAAACAGTAACATTGCATTTGTGCTCAGTTGTCAAACATCCCCATCAGCTGTGTGATCATCAAAATACACTGAAAGAAACTAAACATGTTAATATTGGCCATACAGTTAAAAACTGTGACTGTGAAAATGACTGAACTGAAAATATTATTGGCAGCTGCAGAGCTGTGCCAGTTATTCTACAACAAATCCATTTGCCCACTGTGAACACTAACTGGGTGGGGTCAGTCTACTACCCATAAAGGTCATAATGATTGCACATTTCAATTTTCTGTGACGATCTTGTATTTATAAAACAAACATTCAAAGTGCTTGGAGAATTTCAACTAAGTAAAGAAATATGGGAAATATGTGTCCCTGCAGTTCCCCAATGCTGTCAGTCTTCAGATATAGAGCCTAAATGACTGAGTTCCTTTATTTCAAGGAAATCTAAGCGGTTTTGGACAGGGCGACAGATGTTTGTGTTTTCCACTCATGCTCATGTGATTTCAGGTCACTCAAAAGCCACTTCTCTGCAGAGTTTGCCAGGCGTGGCCAGTGTGTCAACATTATGGCTTCCCTTCGCCGCCACAGAGGAAAACATGGTGGAGTCCTGTATTCTCTGGTACAAACATCCAAAACAATGGCAGCATGGGGAATACATTCAGAAAGAAAGTAAAATATTCATGTGGATTTTTTTGTGCCACTCCCCAGTGGTAAACATGTCAAATTACCTATTTACACATTCATCAGACACAACATTAGCAACATTAGCATTCATTTGATGTTGTGTTTTCGGCAAACTTATGGTCTTGACTAACTGCTGAGGGAAATATCTGTCTATGTAGCTGCTGCATGCTCCACAATGTTCACCAGCTGGTCACTAACCGTGTCTGCCTGCTGTTTAGTCAGAGGTTTCTATCTGAAAATAGCTTCCTGCTACTGGAAATGAAATTGATGAGAGCAGTAAGACTGAACCACAGCAGTAAATTTGAGCCATAAAACCAAAACAACGAGCTAAAAGAAGCAAAAATGCATCTTTAACCAGCTGCAGAGGTGGTTGATACGTCTCTGTGGGTTCATTCCTGCATGTGACCTCTTTCACATCACACACTGTCACATATAATCCCAATTAATTAATTAATCAACAATCAAAAATATTGATTATTGCAGCTTTAATATAAAAATACTGATTGTGCAGCTTTAAGATTTCCTGTGTCCACGTCAGAGACAAATGCAGTGGCAGAGAAAAGAGACTCAGTAATTCTAGAAAAAAATGGACAATGCAAAAGGTAAGCTGCTCATAATTTCCTCACCAGTGAATTTGATTACCACATCTGCCCTCTGGTATAAAATATCAATCATTGTCAGCATCTTAAAAGGATTATAAGCTCCCAGCACAAATTATCAGCATCAAACATGCAAACAAAGAAATTTTGTAACTCCATTGTGCAAGTTCATCTTTCTGTAACACCTGACCAAATTGTACACCCTGTCTTTGCATGTGATTTTGATTGCACAGGGCAATCCTGATCCTGGTTGCAGCCTATGTGCTGCTTTTAGCCTCAGTGTCCCTGGGCCAGATCCAAGGGAGTAAGGGGAAATCGGGATGTATCGCTTTGAGTGTCTTTTTTGCCACTGAAAACCTGCATTTAGGGGCTTTAAGAAGCTGCAGATATACATGGACTCTCCAGGTGCCTCTATATTGTTGTAAGCCTCAGCCTGAGTCAGCCATATATGTACATCATCATGGTAGTGTAATAAAATCTAAATTGTAAAAGATGAGGAGTAACGTGCTGTTGTCATGTTTGTGTTTTTATAGTTAACAGCATTAGTTTGCATTTACAGAACAAGACAGACAGACAGACACTGCTGGTGCCCGTGTGCACACTGAAGCACGTTGTGCAGCTGGACCTCACACACTCATTTATAGCAAAGACCACACACAAACATGCATATACATAAACACACACACACACACAAGCTCAAAGTGCAGGGCAGCACTGCAGCTCCATCAGTTTCAGTGACAGGTAGTAATGTTATTAATTGCACGTTCACCCTCTGCACCAATGGACCTTCTAGGACAGGATTAAGGACGTGGTTCAGTCACCTCACAGAAACAACAGGTGGTAAAAAGGTCCTTAATGTTCCAGTGGGTAAATTTTCACACAGGCTGAAGGCTTCTCTTAGATGGCAGTGAGCAAAAGCGACAAGATAAAAAGACGTTTGGCTTCACACGCGATTTTCAAAATGCATCTTCGACAGGTGTGAAAATAAGAAAACTACAAATATACTTTTTTCCAGGCTAATAGTGACTCAGCAGAGTGATTCAGTGACTCAGCAGAGTGATTCAGTGACTCAGCAAAAATGATTCAGTGACTCAGCAGAGTGATTCAGTGACTCAGCAAAAATGATTCAGTGACTCAGCAGAGTGATTCAGTGACTCAGCAAAAATGATTCAGCAGAGTTTAAAGCAGCTATAATTAAAATTTTGAATGAATGAATCACACAACTACTTATCTATGAAGGGGGTGACGTGAAGTGATAAACCCACCCAGGGAATTATCAACAATTTCTGCAGCTTCCCTCAGAATCTTTCAGCATCTTTCAGCTCATGTCTGTTTTCCAACCTGCAGCTTTACTGACTAGATTCACTCTCACCTTTCTCATCACTATTCACTATCTGCTCTGCACCAAACAGCAGATAAAGTTAGCAACCAGCGGGTGAACATGGTGAAGCATTTAGCAACTAAAGAGGATATTTCCCTCAGGAGTTAGTGAAGAGCAGAACAGAGTATGAATATTTGGTTTTCATTCATCAACTGGACACAAACACCATGAAGTATGAAAATGTATTCTGCATTTGTGATTTGTGTTCATAAGGCAATACTCAGTTCTTATACTGAAGGGGGCGTTGTGTCATAAAGTGAATATTTTACCAATTCAGACATGTGCATTCAATCTTTAAATTCTGGCTGATACTTTGAAAAAAAAGCTAAATAATCCAGGGTTGTACATCCTGCCTGGTGCAGCTGCATTTCATTGGTAACTCAGTCCTCAGCCACAGTGCAGAGGAAATTATATCATATCCCACCAAATGTGTTAAATTCGATCCCTGCAGATGCTGTTATTTCACTCTCTTGCCTTAATTGTGTCATTAATTATAAAAGGATTTGCAAATCAAGCTCACACCACCACGCACACATAAAGCACATTACTCAGTTTGCACTAAGCAGCAGGAAATAGTCAGCGATATTATGCATTTAATAAGAAGACCTTAATGTGCAAACCACATGTCATGCCCCTGGGCTTAATGCATCACCCTTTCAAAGTGGCTCAGCTTTAGCAGCTCCCCTCAACACAGACTGAAAACCAAGTGCATAAGAATTACACTGTCAACAACAATTATCGATGCTGTTATGCATAAATCATTTCCAAAAACCATTTTTTTTCTCAGCTCTTTACAAACTGTCAGCAAATATAAGTTGGTTGAGTGTGGTTAAAAGGGACGGGGCTCAATGGTAAGACAGCTCCACACTGCCACTCTCTGGCTTCATGCGAGGAAACATCACAGTGTGACTGTGACAGCACACACCCTAGTGTGCCAGTAATCCTAATATATGAATCAATCACAAGACTATATGGACCTAAACCCCCCCCACCCGCACCCACCCCCTTCCTGCAGCGCGCAATGAAGTGATGTGCCATGTGTGGCACAGATGACAGGAGGATTAATGGTACAGTTAAAAGAGGGAGGGGGAGACAGAGGGTGGGCAGGCAGTTCCACACAGCTGATGCGTATTAGTCCGTCTGACACCTAGCAGATGTGTGTTGCTGCACCATGGTCAGTGCAGGCTGGCTCAGTTGAAGTATTAAACTTGACACTCATGCAGTAATGGTTAGGATGGGTGACTAGAAACATGTGACGAAATGGTTTATAGCAAGTGAGTAAGTAAGACCCATTCATCTCACAAGACTAGTGGTTGCACTGTATTTTCTCAAGCAAGATGTTGGAAATCCTAAAAAAAAATGACCTCAGAAACTCCCACAAGCCCAGTGCTCTGACTAACCAGTGATATTCATTCTTTACATCCGTTGCAGTCATAAATGGTTGAGAACATTGGAGCAGTATGTCCCTGAATCTAGACATAAAAAAAATGTTCCAACCTTCCAGACATCTGTGCTGCATCATGGGGAAAAAAGACAAAAATCTGGAATGGAGTGGATCGGCCATAAAACATCCTAATGCTGATTTATTCTGTATATCTGAAAGCCCTTTGTTAAGAATCATCCTGATGCAGCTCTTCCAGTGACAGTTCTGATGTTCGCTTCCAAGGGGAGCTGCAGCGCCGCCGTGATGCTGCTAGTAAATTATGTGAAAAGTACTTCAAACAAATAAAACCAAATCCGGGGTGCACGCCAACTTTCCTCTTGCTTTTGAACAGTGACCAAGTTCTTCCTTACTGTAACCTAGCAACGGGTTACATGCAAACATAAAAGTATGTGGAAACAGTAGCAAATGAGAATTATTTATGACAAATTCTAAATGTAATTTCATTATCTTGTTACTCAGAGGAAAAAATTCTAATAATTCTCGGGAGCTACTGCTAAGATAAAATAATTTGTTTTTGCACCAACACACATAGAATTAAGACACAGTGGAATTCCTCTGTCTCTGCTTGGACAGTCTTGCAGGAGTGGGTGGAAGATTAATGACATACACCTGGTCCACTAAACCCTGCAGCCCACTACCACCGCTGCCACCACCACCACCCACTGCATCTCTTTTGTCCACTGGCCCAAAACCCCCTTTCTGGTTCTCCTGGTACATCTGGCCAGTAGTGTGGAAAACACTTTCTTCACACTTTTCCACCCATGCACTGGTTTCAGAGGGTGTGGTTTTGCAGCTACTGCTGCAGTGGAAACATCTACTCGTCCAACTACTCCTCTCTGGAGCTTTCAGTTGCGGGTGTGGAGATTTAGAAATTCTGATGATGTGTCATTAACAAAAAAAACTCCATATTAACTGAATTACTAAAAGACAAGAGCACAAAAATGAGCTACTGAACTATGATCGATGACATTTCTTATCACTTCACATATTTAGCGGGTTATGATCGGAGACTTACATAATCAGTTATCTTCGGATTAGAGTGTGGTTTTTGCTCTCAACAAAAAAGCTTTAACACTGATCTGGGGTCACAGCTAAAGACCTCAGACGCAGCATCTTAAGGATTTCGTTTTTTTCTCTCACCACACTTATTTGACATTGCAGCGAGAACCAAGACAGGTCGAACAGAAGAGAAGCGTTTTCAAACTTTTTGATTAAAAGAAAAGGGAGAGCGCACACGCCCCTCTCCACTCTGCTCACATGCATCATACATAACATTGCTGAGGTTTCTTCCTTCACCCTAACTGTGGTTCACCTCTTGCCCTTGCAGCACTCTCACCACTAAAGTATAGGCTTCAGTCAAGCTGCTAAACGCATGCTGTCTGATATTTATGAGCTATAAGCCAAAAACACTTTGCAACCCTGTGATTAAGACACCCGTCATAAGCTCACATGTTACGACAGAACTCTATGCTCAGGTCAATTCACTATTTATAATCTAAAGACAGTGCAATCAAGGTCAATCTGTACAAAATTGAGAAATGAGGCAAGTTTGCAAGAAGCATTTGTCTTTCTACAACATAGGAAAGTTAAAACTTACCCTGAGCTGAAGTAGCTGTACTCCACTGTATTTGTTTTTGAAGAAAAAAAATAATATCAGTTATGTAAAATGACTGCAAGCTGGACTTTTGGTCATTATCCTCCTGGTAAATTCCCCTTGCTGGCTTTTCCAGCACCTCCCGAAGGAAGGTGGCTGAGCAAAGCGGTGATAAGAGATGTAGAGAGAAAGGGGTCCTGAGTGAAGGGGGGAAATGGTTGAGACAGAAAGAGACAGACACCCTCCCGGTCTCAAACCAGAGGAGCTGTGGTGCTGAGTTCAAGGCTGGGATGGGACAAACTTCTAAACTCCTGGAGTTCTGCCACCTCTCTCTTTCTCCTCCCACTTTCTCTAAAGACAGAAGAAAAAAAAAAGAAAAAGGCGGGAGAGGAGAGGAGAGGGTGAGCTGGGGGCTGAAAAGAAGTAAATGAAAACCAGACACATAGCCCTGTTTGGTCTGGATGTGAGCAGTGGGGAGGATGATGTCACAAATCTGGAGCGGATTTTCTCCATACCTTTTCCTACATTTTGCCATTTCTCCCTGTACCTCTGTAGGGCCCGTTCTCCTTTTTGTTTCAACAAACAAAAACAATCTATAATTAGCCAGACACCATGTTCTACCCTTTTGTCACTGAATTAAAATCACAGCTTAGTAAAACATATTATAGTTTGAGTAACTACTGCGGCATCCATTGATAAAGTGATTTGGGTAAAGCAAGTTCGTCTTGAAGATGGTCAGTTTATACCCCACAGTCTCTTCAGCTGATAAATATAATGTTTTGTCTCTCGGCCATCCTGGAAAGAAGTCTCACCAAATAAAACAATTCAACTTGTTCTGGCAGAGGCTGAAAATGAGAAACAGAGCGCCATGAATTTAATTGTTCCACACTATAAAATAAAATTAGCTATGAAGCTACACAGCAAACACAGCCTATTACAACAATACTTATGCGTTCATTTTTATTAACACCACCTCACTAACCTCAAATAACCCTTCTGGTAGGATTTCATGAGCTAGCTGTGTCCCAGCTGCATCTATACACTAATCTTGTTTTTAAAACTCTAGGACCTTCTCACTGGGGAAAAGCAAACATGACAACTATATAAAGTATAAATAAAATTTGCACTAAATTTAACATTTATCTTAAAGTAGCTCACTTTTATTGTACTGTTCATGTGTTTTTGTGGACAGTTCTGGTCACAGCAAGAAAAACAAAGTAATAACTTTTAAAGCTGCACTGACCAATACTTTTGAGACTGTTCTCCTGTAAAAAATAAATAAATAAAAAATAAACAAGCCCATTGTTTGTCTGTGCAGCAGGTTATTATTACCCATGCATTTTGTTGCTGGGCGACATCTAGTGGTTGTAGTAATTACGACAGGAGCAAAGGGAAAAGTGCGGTGATGGAGTGTAAAGAGAGTCCATGTCAGGAGGAGGTTATACTGAATGGATCGGTCAATGATTCCCATAGGAAACCAACAGTTTTTGTTGCATGTTTAATCGCAAAGCTAACAAGGTCCATGTTATCCATGTTGCTTTCACCAATGGTAGTCGAGGCTGATGAGACCCAATCAGGGAATAATCGTGGATGTCTCTGTCATCATTTCATTTCATCAAAGGTTTCCATTTTTGCACGTCCAGACAACAGCATAACCCCGGAATTTTCAAACTAAAATGGGGGCAGCAGCATTTCCAAAATGATCTATTTTTGGGGCTCCAAAACTCTGGGGTAGTGTGAACAGCAGGAGGAAACATAGGAAAATCGATGATTTTAAAATAAAAACATGTGTGTGGATGTAGCCTTTGTCACCTAACTCTGCTGTCCCCCTCAGTTCTACAGAGCGTTTTAACCTCCTGTTACCATCCAGCAGCAGCAGGAAACTGTTTTCAGTGTGATAAAGCATCTATACACAACATGCCCAGCACCAAATTGCGACTAACTGGTGAACATACTGGAGCATTTAGCAGCTAACGAAAAAGATATTTCCCTCATGAGATAGTGGTAACTGAAACAGAGCTAAACTTTATAAGGTGATAATATGAATGTGTTGTGATTGCAGCTTGTTCAGTTCAACAACATTTCAGTTTGTTATTTTGAAAATTTTCATTTACTGACAGTACTCCAAAGTCACAATGTGACTGCTGAGTGTGTGTGCTTACCATTTACATGTCAACATCAGTACATTAATGCATAGTATAGGATGTTTTACAATGTATGCAAAGAACTACACAATTCACTAAATGTCAACAGGAAGGAACACTTTTGAAATCCCAAAGTCCGAGCCAAATACAGGCAGGACTTCTGCAGAGTGTTTCTGTCAGTGAGCTAACACAGACTTTGCTCCCAGAGGTCAGTGTTCTGTGAAAATAACTGCTCCCTCACATTTGTGTGAATAAAGGTTGAAAGCTGAGCTCTCACATCAGGTAAGGTATAACCTCTTTTACCCCACTGAACTCTCCCTGCGGTTACACTATCTCTTAATTCATCAGAGCGAGAGAGAGAGAGAGATAGAAACTCAAAATTGCACCATATGGAAGTATTTACAACACTGGTCCAATGCATTCATGTTCTGTTGTGTGTAGGTCATTACTCACACCACCAATATTTCCTGCGAGTCTCTGCAGTGTTATGATGGCGCTAGGCAACCGCTGCTGTAATGTCCACTGAGTTACAAGCTGTTATGCGCTCAGAGAGAAAATGAAGATCTGATAAGCAGCAAGAATGGAACAAAATAATGAATTTAACTGCTTCCTTAACAAAAAAAATGTTAATGAGGGTTTTTAATGTAAATCAGTTCTTATTTAATGCATTCATCTACATTGTGAGTTGAAATCGAAGCAAGACGCAGGCAGATCAGCAAGATCCAAATATTTTTTCATCATTAGGAAACATGTCTTACATATATTCCCTTGTGAGTGAGCGCTAACCCAACACAGACCCTTCGAAATCAAAACCTCACACAGCCTCAGTCTGACGAGCACTAATACTTATATTGTTGGTTGATGTTAATGTCACGCTCACACAGCTTTTAACAATTGCCTGAGTTGAAGACAGAGCTGACATCTGTGTTGAAGGTATTCTTTGATGCGTGCCACCAAGGTGACTTCATGCGGGTGGATGAAAGTGCAGATTGTTTCCTGTGATGCTTTTCAAAGCTGCCCCGACTCTTGTTTCTGTCATTAACAACTGCCAGCTTTCATAATATGAGACAGGACAGATTAGAAAAAAAAAAAAAAACTGGAATAAATGGTCATTTTCTTCAACATCCACATGATGTTTTAGGTGTGGTTGTAATGTCACTAGGTTCCTACAGTATGTGGAAATTATGAAAAGCATAGGAAATGTATCCTTAAGCCCTGTACAACCCCGTGAACACACACACTCAAGTTTACTTTATTCTTAAATAAAAGCATGAGACTCCCCCTCCACATAACTGAAGTATTCACACTGGTTTCTAGAAGTTGCTTTTCTCGCCTGTGAAGACATTACCGTTAGGAACAAACTGTTCACCAGCCAGTTTGAGGAAAATGCATGTGTTGATTCCACCAACATACTTGTTTCCATTGGAGCATAAGCAAATAACTGGGTGGGGATGGAGTGGGTTTAACTCACTCCATCCCCTACCGTGTCTGATGAGGAAAGTATTAATACTCACAGTTACAGTAGATGCTCACCAGAAGGAACTGCAAATCGTAGAGAGAAGCAATGACGAGTCATTATTTGCTTTACCTTTGTAAAGCTGCCTCCCTTCAGCCATAACCCAACACAAGCATGCACGTGTGCTCTGGTTCAGTTCATGTTCACCCTGACTTCTTACACGTAAACCAAGAACAGCAAACATGAGGTCATTTAGATTGACAGGTAACTCATTTATTGGGCAGTTTTGTTAATGGCATCCTTCAGAATTGGTGCTACATGGACCCAAACGGGGAAATCAAAGTCTGGTGAATGACAGCAAGTCATCCTGCACTTCTTATGTGTATGTTTATGCTTTCTGGTGTCACATGGAGCTCACAAGGAAATAATTAATCATGAGTACTGTTCTAGACTGCTACTGGATCTCATTTTATATAGTGTTGAGCAGAGAGAGGTCAAAAAGATTCATCTTTCTCCATAGCTAATATTAGAGGAAAATTTTATTTCCTGTCTAGTATACCTGTCTCCATGCCAAGCATCAACCTCCAGGCTGAAAAATGAAGCAAAATCAGAAGTGACAAAAAGTGCAGTTCCTCTAATGACCACTAGAGTCTGGCTCCAACAGTGAGTGACACCCCATAGACTCCCACGTTAAAATGTCCAACTTTACAGCAGAAATAAACATGTTTACAGCCTGGTACAAAAAAAATGTTGGTCTCTAGAGCTAAATTCCTTGTGCTCCTCCTCGAAGTTCTGCATAATTGAGGGCGTGGCTGATTTGTGTGACAGGTGGGTAAATGAATGCTTGCCACAAACCTTCATTCACCGAGGTGTCGGCTCTACACGCGAGCCACCTCTTTACACATTTAAACGTGTAAATGTTTTAAAATTTTGGCAGCGTCAGGCGCTACCAAGATGGCGACAGCAAAACAGCTCACACTGAGCTTCAAAACCGCTTCAGAAACCTGCGGGTGAAGGAGGCTACATTCATCTATATATACAGTCTATGCTCCATGCACACTATACCAATGATGCACGTTGTATTACCCTATGACTTGACATGCTATTCAGTAAAGGCCTTTCATTTACATGAACATATCAAAATTCAGTTCAGAAAGAATGGTAAGATTTTTCAAAGGCCCCTGTAAAGACCCCTGTGAGATTTGCTTGACAGCATGACCGTGTCAAATTCAGCATGTGATGAAAAAGTGGGACATGTGTTCATACTGGCCACATGCATGAGTTAACACGGTTCAGGATAAGAGGTCAGGTGCCAAAGTTTTAGACTGGGCCAGGTTCAAAAGTACACCAGAGGTCTACAGAGAATTTAAATCAAAGCCAGTGATATACCTAGTGAGGTGATCAGTTTTTTTTTTGTTTTTTTTTAAGCATGTGGGGCACAAGTCAACTTCAATCCGTCAAAAGACTCTACAGTGCTCTACTCTAGTGGTCTGTTTTGTTTGACCTAAGACCAGTAACATTAATGGCTTACATACAAAGTCATTATCACCATAGTCAAATCCTTCCTTTTATATTCATGCACATGTTATAATACTGACTGGCACATGTGCTGTACTTTCCACTTTCTGAATGACTTTGACTCAGTACTGCC